AAAAAAAATGTTCAGTTTTTTTCTTTTAATGCCCAAAGAGTAATAAAAACACTGAGGAAAACATTCCTGACTGTGGCTTTCATAATTCATGCATGAAAGGGTTAGTAATGTTCATGTATGTTGTGCAGAGATGCATGAGAATCTGGGCACCTTTTCAGTTTAAGTTTTCACCTTTTCTTCTTAGTCTTTTTGTCTATTTAACTCTTTGCTGTTTTTTATGAGCCTCATTTACTTTGAAACAATAGCAAATTATTGTAAGTGTTACTGGAGCAAACATCATCACCAGCCTGTGAGACCAGGCTGTCTGTGTAAATCAGTATTGTTTTGGCTGTAGGCAGCAGACATTTCAGCCAAACTCCAGTAACACCTCTAATATGAGACAACAGAAGTGACTTGTAATGCCGTGGCCATAAATGACAAATAAAGCCAGCCATGGCGCAGTTGCTTAAGAAACCCTTGAAAATATTTTGTCTTTTTTTGTTTCTCTGTGAAGGTAACCATAATGCTGTTGTTTGCCTTTGCAGGGTCAGGGTGACTAACGTTTGGTAGCTTATTGTTAAAGGCATGGGGTATTTGTCTGTGTTTAAACTGGTGAGAGGTGGAGGCTAAACCGTGATGGCTCCTCCCGGTTCTGATCTCTTTCCTCTCTTCTGTTCCTGTCCTCAGATCGAGAAGATCATGACACTGATTGGTGCTGGCATTGATTTTTCAAGAGATCAGCAATATGCTACACCAGGTACGGTATGATCATTAAATGACCATTAATATTATTATTTGAGGCTTGTGTTATGTGATATACTCTTGCACTACTTCATTATCTCCCAATTATCGATTCAAGCTTAAGGTTTGAGGGGAATTACAGTGAAATGGGTGGTTTTTCATTAGTTCCTGGTGAAGATTTTTTTTTTTAAATCTCTCTAATACATTTCACCACTGGTGCATTATTAATGTGAATCTTACTGTGAGCCGCCAAGGTTTGAACATAAAAACTAAATTATCTATGTGGCAGATTTACTTTGCATTTCTTTGCCCGAGTATCCTCAGAACCTTTTTTCAAGCATTCTTTATCTTTGACAGTGGTTCCTTTACTTGTCTTGTTGTGGATTTATACCCTTTGGTTTCTTTACTCTATCTGCTTGGAATTTCTTTGTAATCATCCTCCGAGGTATCTGATCCATATCACTGCCCTCTAAGTAAATCAAACAGGTGCCTGGGAGACATGGTCATTGAAGGAGGCATCTGGAAACAAATTGTGATTCAGTTACCAACAGAGAATTGGGTCTATAGTAGTGGTATAATGCGGGTAGACTGTTGGTCTGGTTTAATAGAACAGATGAGGAAAGGAATCGATAGCTTTTGAACAGCTTATCTTGTCCTGTGTAGTCCGGAAACCCACTGGGTTGTGTCTGTGGTGTCTGATGCAAAATCAGCCCGTTCTTAGAAGCCAAAGGAGTCAGGCCATGTCAGGTCCTGGTCTCTAAACTCACCTTGGATGATACCAGGGCTATTTCTTCGAGACTAAAGAAGCCTAGTATTTGATCTGGCCTTCCAATCTGTAAGGCCACATCTTTATGTTTAGGATCCTGTATCTGCTCTGCTGTGTATGGATTGTAGCTGTAGCCTGAATGATGAACTCCTTGCCTTTAGTTTTCCCCTCACATCAACAATCACCCCCAATTTACACTTTGCCTAAGTCACATTTTAATATACTATGTAGGCATTGGACCAGATCCCAAAGTTGTCTTTTCTCTTTCTAGTCCTCATGTTTGCTAAGCTCCGCACAGGAGTGAGCTGTTTAAATATTAATCACAACGTATGTCAGGGGATGAGCCCATTTCGCTTTGTAGGCTCAAGGAAAATTGAGACCACTGCAGTAACGTAATTAGCGCCCCATCACTGGCTGCATCTGTCTGCTCTGAACATGATTTATAAGTCTGAATGCTCTGTGTATCTGAGCCTCAGCCTTTTCTATGAGTCCACAGTCAGGAGGCCATCTAGACTCTCGCTGGAGAAGAGACTGTATTTGATGTACATTTGAGAAGCACACCCCCCTTTCTGATTCAGTCCAGTGTTTGCCTCTTCTCAGTGTTGTTGACCGGAGAGCTGTGATGTCTGTAGTTGATTGGCTCGGTGCCCGCAGACTCTCGTACTTTTCTCCTCTCTACTGATAGACTTGTACATCAGAGTGAATGAGATGATATAAGAGAGTGAAAGAAACTTAATGAGCACCAGATAAGAAAAGACTGACATATGGAAGCTGCGGAAGCAGTAGCTCGCACTGACGAGAAGCAGCCACCTGCAGTGTTTGGTGGGGTGGGGTGGGGGGGAGTGGCGAAGCACACAGAGAGGGGAGAGAGAGAGAGCAAGTACAAGAGGAGAGAGGAATGCAGGCATCAGTGTTGTAAGCAGCCGGGACAGTAGAAGGACGCCTCCCTTCACACTGGAGTGGACCAGAGGAGCTTTTTGTAGAAAGTGGCTGCTGCTGGACCGCATCCCACAGACTGTGACAGACTGAAGAGAGACAGTTTGCACACTCCCTCTTCTGCACACGAGCTCAGTCTGGGGCTCATCTATTACTGAAGTGCTCTTTGAAGTAGCAGATTGGATCCTTGACAGGATTTTTCTCTGGAGTGACCAAAACAGGATTCACAATGTGGGAATGTCCTCAGGAGCAAGATTGGTTCTGTAGCTGGCTGAGTAGAGGATGGGAGCACTGACAAGGGGCAAAAAGGCTTTTCACTGTGCATTTTACACTTAATTTTATTTTAGGTTGACATCTACTTGTTAGCTTTCTTTATGTGCTGTCCTGCACAAGGTAAACACAGTTATTGATGTGTAACTCTTGTCTATGAGAAGAAACGTTACTCACTCCATTAACTTTTAACTGTGAGGTGCAGTAATCAAATCAAGAGTTACGAGTAACTGCGCCAAATTTAAGTGTGTAATAATTTACTCATAATGTAGAAAACATGTAGTTTTTTGCTTTGCTTTGAAAGTGAGTTAAAGCGTAACAGTTCCTTGTTTCCATGTCCAGGAGCAGAGGCAGTCATTTGTCCTTGTACAGCTTGGACTTCTTGCAGCTCGAGCTGCTGACAGCCATCAGTGTAGCTTTTGTTTGTGATCAATCTCAGCTCATTGCAGTCATGTTGCAGGTTTGTTTTCCATGTGAACAGTGTCATGTTTGCAGGGTAGCTTCCTGCCTGGACTGCTTGTGGATTATCTAATGAGTAGGTGGGGTTTGTGAATGAGGGATGACCCTGTTTGGTAATTAACTGTCTCCCGATTCTGTGCACATGTTTCCCAAGAACTTTCCACTCGGTGGAAACAAAGAACATTCCCTGGAAGATCTGATGTGAACTGCTTTGTTCCTCTCTGATCCCTCTGAGCTTCTCTTCATGCCAAAACTGGAAAGTAATTAAATAAGCTGCAAACTTCCATATATTTACTTTTTATTTTTAATACTTTGTGACATGGGACCTCTTTAACTTTTTACTTGTCTGGATCTGAAATGTTTTGTTACAGTTGCTGGTTCATTTTAAATGTTCCTGGCTGACTGTTATAGCTAATAACTTCTGCATATTAGCTCCTATCCCTTTATCACCTCCATTGTCCCTGAGATCAGGGGTACTTCAGTCCGCCCTGGGTGATTGTGGTTCAGCCCCCGCTGCCCTGCGGGAGCTGACGTCCTATCCTCAGAGGACACTGTCTCCTCCGCCTTCCTGTTGCTGGTGCGCCCGGCTCTGCTGGCCGAGAATGATGTGGCAATGCCACGTCTCATCCTCAGAGTGCCGCTGCTACCGGCTGAAAGGTTTCTCCCTCCTGAAGCGCTTTCCCCTGTCAGCAGGTGCTGCAGGCCGACTGCTGGAGCAGCCCGTGGGAGACTGGCTGGAGCCCGTGGGGCTGCCGCAGTACGAGAGCAAGCTGCTCCTCAATGGTTTTGACGACCTCCGCTACATGGTGAGTTCCTCACCTCTTTTATGTAAAGTCTAAAAGTCCATTCATTGTTGTATTCACTTTCTTTTTTGACTTCTCATCTTACTTGTATATCTTTTCTCATGTCTTTCAGTGCTTCTGTTCATTTAATTCCTGATTGTTTTTGCACATTAATCCAAGTGATGCCACTCTCCATTAGCTGTTAGTGAGATGATCCCTTTAGCTTCATTTTGAGTTCAGTTAGTGAAAATCCTGTAACAACCCCTCCCACTGTATTGGACTGAGTCTGACTTGAGTTTCAGCAGCTATAAGATTTTATTAGAGGGACAGTTAATTACCACCGCCAAGGGGTTATGTTTTTGGTTCTGTGTGTTTTGCTTGGCAGGATTACAGACAAACAGCCTGATGGATCATCAGCGTACTTGGTACAGACATTGGTGGGGACCAACCTTAGAAGTGATTAGAGTTTGACTGAAAAAGGTCAAGGTCACAGAATCCCTATCTTTAACATAGGGCAAAATTAAAAAAATTCATTCCACTGTCAAAGGTTAATGAAATCATTGGAAATTTGACACATACATAGGGTAGCAATGTCTACCACCAGACTAAATTCATCTGGATCGGTGTGGGATTCCAGATCTCATGGCCATTTAAAATGAGCGTTTAACACATGTTTTCTGCCATAACTTGCCGTATAATGAAGCTAGAAGCCTGAAACATTCCACAGTATAAATGCCTATCATACCCCAAACAATGATCCAGATCTGGATCAGGGATTTTAAGACACATTTTGTGTTGTTCTGGATCTCATTCTTCACAACGGACCCATTTGTGTGAGCGAGCCTTGGCGAAGGTACATGCGTTCTGAATGCTCTTGTTCTGAGTGAAGTGAGCACATAATTCATAGCACACATTATACCACATGCTTTACTCGTGGTACAGTGGAACCTTGGATTGCGAGTATAATTCGTTCTGGCAACGTGCTCGTATATCAAAGCGAATTTCCCCATAAGAAATAATGGAAACTCGGATGATTCGTTCTACACCCACTTATCCATATAAAAATGATTACAGTAATACAAAATACAGTATAAAGTAAAAATAAAACAAGTTAACCTGCACTTTACCTTTGAAAAGAGTCATGGCTGGCATGAGGGGCCATTGTTGCAGTATAGATATTGACTATATGAGTGAAGCGCAAGAACCATTGGCTCAGTTGTGACTTACATCGCATGACGTTCGGCAGACAGAGCGTACGTACTACTCGTATTGCGAGACCTCCCTCGCATATCAAATCAAAATTTTTTGCTCGTCTTGCAAAACACTCGCAAACCGGGTTGCTCGCAATCCAAGGTTCCACAGTACTCAACCTGTGTCCTTGTTTTTGTGACAGACTTTATCCATTCAACCAGTAAATATCCATTTTGATCTCTGCTGTCAAATACTGTATGCCTGGTTGTGTATTGAATCAGGTTTATTCTGCACTCACAGTCTGTCTCCAGCTCAGGAGGCTGCTGTCACCATGGCTTCTCACTAACAGTCAGTAAGTGGGAGCATCTCAGTGAGCAATACAATGCTGTCGCCAACCTGACAAGTTTATGGAGCCCACGATGCACGACGCCACTCTGAGTTGGCACTGTTGTATTTGTTGGTAATGAAGACTGATGGAGAGGAGAATGAGGGACCCAGCTGGTAGACTGAGCCAGTGGGCATGTTGGAAATGAGACGGCCATCTTATGTGTCAAGATTAAAAAACTCGTCCTCGTCCATCAGGCCTACCATGCAACCTCTCTTTAACACATAACGAGCCATCTGTTAGCATGTTTTCATCCCATTCAGACACCACATTTGATTTCACTGATCATGTGTTTGGTTAGAAAATGTAAATGAACACGATTCAGGCAGAACACAGCTCTCAGCAACATTGCAACAGTATGAACCAATAAATGAATAACATCTTTATTATTGTGTTAAGCATACAAATGTGCCAACCCTGCATGGGTTTACAAGACACCACATATTTCATAGAAACCAGATTGAGAAGGCTGCGTATACAAAAAAAGGAAAAACCTTTGTGCAGTAGTGAGTAAGCTCTTCTAAAGCTCAATCTATACAGGCCACTGTAGCTTTGGGTTTGTTCCAGAAATGCTTTACACTACACAGTAATAAGGAGCTGGGTCCACTTCTGTCACTGACCCATCTGAAATCATGCGAACAAGACGTGTTTACACAGGGACAACATACTAATTCAGTTATATGTGCACAGTGACAGTGAAGTAATCTGCTTTTCTTTCCTTTGACGAGTGCTGCTAGGAGCCAGACATCACGTTTGGCCTCTTGACAAATCTTTTGGAAGCTTGTTATGATGACAAAAGTTGACATCTGGGAGTTAGCATTCATTATTATGACTCACGTCAGTAGATGCCATTATCATTTTGATTTACAAGGCACAATGGCTAACACAGCCCCGTGTATGACCTCAGCACTCCATGGGTTATTTCATGACTCAGTCACATAGTGTTGACTATATAAACTTTAGGTCGAAAAATAAAAATCTTTTTACTTGTTATCCTGCAGCAGGATTTTATTATCTCAGACACAGCAGAGTTTTTTTATTTGTTGCTTGGTTTATTCACAGCATAACTCCAAAAGTAATGGATGGATTTTGGCAGGCTGTGGCCCATGGATCAAACCATTAGATTTTGGTGGTGATCCAGATCATCATTCAGATCCAGGAATTTTTTTAAGGGATCCAAGTAACATTCTGGATGTGGTCATCCACAATAAAATTAATTGAATGCAGTGTACAGTATATACCATAGGGTGGTTGGCAAATGCCAGTAATATTGGTGCAAACTAAAGATCCTTCTTTCCTTCAGTAGTTACTGTAGTGATAAAAGTTTCTAAAAGCTTTGCATCCCTTTTCATTGCCAACACCTTGTATAACAGAACTGAAAGAATCACAGTTGACATTGTAGTTTTCCTTTGTTGTAAATTAGGACTTCATAATCACCAGAGAGGAGCGTGGATTTCTCCCGTAGCTGTAGGAGCCAGCTCTGTCTGACAGATTTCACTTTACATAACTTCACAACAGAGCATTTCTCCATTTATCTGCCTCTCTCCTCCCGACCCTATGCGGTCAACACCTATGTTTAAGTCTGTGTTGAAGCCTCTAAAGTTTCTTTCAGGGTTTAATCTTCCTACTGTCTTGTAGTCTTTTGCACTCTCCTTCCTCAGCTGAGTCCTCCAGCAGAAAGCTGGCGATATTTCTATCTTTAAACATGGCTTACAGGCCACCTGGCTTGAAACCTGAAATCACCAGCAGATTTGGAAAAAGCTGTGACCTTTAAACAGCGTGTCCTTCCCACAGCAAATGTTGACCTTTTAAGAATCACAGTTTGCACTGTCTGTGCCAAACTTTTCTAATTTGTGTTTAATGTCCACTCGTGTATTAGAGTAGAAACAGGAACAGGCTATATTTCATTGTAGAAGATATTTTAGTTTAATTTTTATTATAGCCAATGTTAGGTATGCAACAAATCCACAGTAATAATCACCAGACTGATGCCCTGTATCAGCTCAAATCAACCTAAACACATAGTTAACATATAGTTCAACTGCTATGATAAACAGTCAGGAAGTCAGATTCAGTTGCTGATAGAAATTTGTGGCCGTATCTTTTTCATCAAATGCAAAGGCATCAATTGAGCAGCAAAAATCTGGTCCTCACTGTAACACACTGGGCTTCTGGGTATAAAAAAAAACACTAAAATCATTGATGGAGAAACAGCATGTACTGTATGTTGATGCCAGTGTGCACTGAGATCACTAATTAAACAGAGTTTGCCCTGCAGGCTCGCTCTAGAAGTGGATTGATAACAGCAGTGATTGTCTCGTGTTCAAGCAGCGAGGCAGAAACAAGCCTCTTCTGAAACCACTTAGATGTTTTATATCGGCTCATGGAACAAATGTGCTGATGAAACGAGCTCTGCGCAGCCATGCTGTCCTTCTGTCCCCGCCGGTCCCGACAAGCAACGCTCGTTGAAACGAAACGGCCCCTATTCTCGCTCCTCTACCCCTGAGCACCACTTCTGGTGGCTGCATCAGCTGTGACGGGGTCAGCCAACGGGGCTCTGAATTAGTTTGTATTCGAGGCAGTGGTGTCTCTACCACTTTGCTTGTTTGGGGAGCCAGCTAGAGCAGAACACATTTAAAGTTTTGAGTTGGTGGAGGCGACTTGGTCCATAATAGAATCATTTAAGAAACAGCTGCACAAAGGTGAGAGACACATCAGAACACACATCTCAATTCAACACTTTCTTCTTTCTTATAACTCTCCTTTTTTCTGTCTTCAATGTTATTTGCTGCCATTAAATAAAAGCAAAGACATTTCACTGGAAGTAGTCAATGCCACCGAAGCCTACAGACAAATCTGAGTTGCAGTAATGGCTTCATGCATTAAAAGCTCAGGAACTGGGTATGGATCAATTGATTTTTCTGTTGTCCTCTTGGTGGTGATGTATTGTTGTCCCATTACCCATTTGAAGAAGACTAGGGTATGAATTACATTAAATACATGTTTAAGTTTGAAATATTTATTATTTATCATATTGACTTTGCACATACAGTCGTTTCCCCCGAGTTTCTCCTTACAGGCCTCTGTGGTCTTACGGCAGCCTGTTAGGAGGACAAAGTGTGAATTTTATTGCTTCTGGTTAGCTGTCCTTTAGACGGTCAGAATGAGTGATCCGTGCCCTCAAGCACCTGGCTTGAATTCAGAGTGCTTTCAGACCAGCGGGACCGCTGTGGCTGTGCTCTGAGGGGAGGAGAGAGAGCAGCAGCATTTTAATGAGACGGCCAGGGAAAGCAGAGATGGACAGCACAGAAGACAAAAAAACCACCTAGATTACATTACTCTGTGTATTCCTTTTCATGCATATTGTGCTGATGTCATCATTCTCACAACTTGTGTACAGTATTTTCGCCTTTAGACCTGCCGAGCCTGGAACCACATCAGTCAGAATTTCCCCACACCGGCTATATTTTTAGAGTCTGTGTGTGGGTGTTAAATGAGTTATCAAGGTGTAACAGGGGTGAATGTAATATTTATGTTGCAGGAGATGAGAATTTTTATCAACTCAGCTACATTTCAAAGACACAAGAAACCTACGTAAGCATCTTTCAGCCTATAACGGCCCAAATTTAAAGCCAGTGCCTTCAGTAGAGTTTATGTAGCAAAATATTGATTAGCACTGTTGCTAACATTTTCATGATCAGTTTACCTGGCATTTAGTTTCTCAGTTATTTAATGGATTGTCCATTATAATTCAAGGTGATAACTTGTTTCTTTTGTCCTGCCAACAGTCCAAAACCAAAATACAGTATATGACAAGAAGCAAATATACACATTCAAGAAGATGAAAGCAGATGGCGTTTGGCATTTTTGCTTGAAATAATGAGTAAAACAGCTAGTTGAGTATCAAAATAGTTGCAGCAGTTTTATCCGCTAATTGTTTCAGCTCTGTGTGTTGAACCAAATCATTTAAATTCATGCAAATCAGCTTAGTTTCTAACAGTAGTGTCTTTGTCAGTTGCTGCATTAAAACACATGTACTTAGTAAAGAAATGCTGAAAACGACCCAGGAAATGAGAGCTAAGGCAGTGGAGAAAGTCTGTTAGAGCTTTATTTCAACCCACAGAGCCATTTATCAGTTAATGTCCAGTAGAACAGTAATGCAATGATCCATGCACTGTGAAAGCGCTGTTATCCATCCTGCACCCCAAGTAGCTTGAGTCGTCAGCTGGTGCGGCAGCGATCAGTGCACGGTTGCTCAGAGATAATGGGCTTTAAGCTGTCATTTTAGTGCAGGGTTTTAAGAATGCAAAAGTCAGATCTGAGCTCTAACTAATGTGGATCACCATTGTTCTCGCCGACCTTACTGCAGAGAGTTCAGGCACTTGTTTTACTCTTAATGTCTTTCTAGTTTTCTCAGCATCTCCACAAACAGGCTGGTGCAACCTCCTAACCACCCGAATATATAATATATACTATATTCTATGAATTGGATGTCAACATATTGTGATTCTACAGGCACCACTTCAGTTTCACAGTTGACTCCATAGTTTTTCCTCTCACTGACAGGCTCTCTCCTCCCCTCTCCTCATCCTGTCCACCCCTTGTTTGCATCTACAGCATCTGCATGACAAACAGGCTGTCAGGTTTGGCTTACAGACAGCCTCTCTTCTGGTCTATCCCATTACTGCTGTGTCTGTGTGTGCACAGAGGTGAGAGTCACCCACACAGGCCCTGAGCCCTCACACTCTGTCCCTGAGGCAGCAGCTCAGTTGCTGACCCCATCTGCAGAAATAACACGGTGAGCATTTATGGCTCACCGGACAGAAGACCAGATGGAATCTTCCTAATCACCGGTCATCTGAGTAATAATGCTCTGTAATGAATCAATTATTTTGACTGATGAGCTAACAGGACACTGCTAGTGGAGTACCTACAGTGTTTTGATTTTTGTCCTTGCAGCCTACCACTGCAGTCAGCTATCGATCCACTGCCATTCTACTCCTCCATCTCACTGCTGACCACTCTGCAATTCTGACATTGATTTATCGCTCCATTCTTCATTATCCATTGTCTGTTACCTACCCACACGGTCTCAAAGGTGATATTGTGTGTAACCAAAGATGGGTTTGACCATCATTCACAGAAGTCCCCTCCCCTGCACACTTATGCCTCATTTAAGGGGCTATATCGACATGGCTCCCTTACCACAGTTGGTAGGTTGGGAGTTTGAAGATCTCATTCAGAAGTAATTTGTCTTTTTTTCTGCAGTGGCAGCATTTCTTGCAATCAATACTAACCCTGCAGCACAGGCTCTTCTCTTGAAGAAATGGTCTGATGGGATTTAACTGTGTAACACAAACATCTGTGCTTTGGATTATTTGAACGTGGCGTATATGGCGATTCACTCCTATGATTTACAGTTGATCATATAACTAAGCCAAATTCTTTCTTGTTCTTAAAATATGCTGTATTTTACATTGTACACTGTGATGCAGAATTGCAACATGTTTTTCTTAAAGTTTATTTTATGATTTGCATTCTCTTGCATGTACCATACTTTCTGAAACCAATCACCTGCACCAGTATTGAAAGTAAACACATACCTACTAAGCATTGTTTTTGTTTTCTGTATTTCATTCACTAGGGGAGCAATGTCATGGAGGACCATGACCTAAGAGAGATTGGCATCACAGACCCAAGCCACAGAAAGAAGATCCTTCATGCAGCACGTTCATTACCTAAGGTGACAAATCATTGATTCCTGGTAGATGACATGTTACTGATTTTGGTGAACAACAGACTCCTGATCAGAGTCTGGGTCTGAACGAGGCTCGAACGTATCCAGCTAATCTGTCCAGTATTCCCTCCTGCCATTGTATCCTGGCACAGTGATTTCACTGGCCTGTCTGGGGACAGGATCGGTGATGGGCAGTGAGTGATTCCTGTATATATTTATTTATTTTAATATTCATGAATCTTGTAATTCAAAATGAAGGGCAAAGACCAGGCATTTTCAGGCCCTTTTAAAGGTTTATTGAGCTGTTTTTTGTAGAAAAACTTTCTTAGGCAATATATTTTCCATAGCAGAGTATCTTATATGCCTTAAAACATCTCTGGAGAGGATTTTTAAAATAGGCAGGAGGCACTGCCATTGTCCTGACTCCCTTAAAGCATTAGTGAAGGATGGGTTTTTCTCCTACAGGTGAAAGCACTGGGCTGTGATGGCAGCAGCACCCTCTCCTCCTGGCTGGAGAACCTGGGACTGCACGACACAATTTCCTGACCAGCGGCTACCGTACTCTAGACTGTGTCAAAAACCTGTGGGAACTAGAGATTGTCAATGTGAGTCACAGTGACGTACGTGGAGGGTGAAATAAGGTTTCCACTGTGTTACAGAAAATTCTAGATAAGGACCAAGTTTGACAGTTTACTCTCAACTCTGAAGGTGAAAACAGACGACTTTGGTTTCATTGTAGGTTTTCTCCTTCTGTAACTTTTCCAAACTCCCACAGAGGAATTAGTAGGTGCTTAACATGAGAATATTGTCAAATGTGACATTATTTGTACAAAACTTGATTTTGGAAAACACGAATTCTTTCACAGTTTGAATTCTGAACAAGTAGCTTCCGGTATTTTAGCTGGTTAAAGGTTGAAAGTCAGAAAACAAACCAGCGATATTTAAGATACAGTAATGAGACAGAAAAGAAGTAAACACTTCTCTAGTCAAAGAGAGAACTCAGTTATTTGTTTGGACACCTGCACATCCAACCTCACACTTAGTAAGACAGTGTACTACCTCACAACGTGGCATGATTAACCTAACAGGATTAAAGCAAACACACTTTATTTAGAGTAGCCGTTGTCTGGTTTCTCATTGGCCTGCCTTCATCTTTCAAAGACCTCTGCCATCTCACGTGCAGGTCCACATGGTCACCAATGGTTTCCTCTTCTCTTTTTTTTTTACAGGTGCTAAAGATCACCCTAGTAGGTCACAGAAAGCGCATCATTGCTTCCTTAGCGGAAAGGCCCTACGAGGAGCCTCCAGTCAAGCCTCCTCGTTTGTCTCAGATCAGGGTAAGATTTTTTTAAGGTGACATTCTATTTCACTTTTAAATGACGTGTTAAGACAGAAGGAATGAGTCTGATGGTGTGATGTCCAGGACAGTTGCTGTTACATTCATCATGGGACAACTAACTGGGTCCTAATTTGATTCCCTAGTGCCAAGACCTGCCTGGGTCCCAGACCGTGTCTCCACTCAGTCAGATGGAGTCCTACACAGGACGCTCAATGGACCCCCTGCTGCCTGTAGGAGAGCAAGGGAGGAAAAAAGTGCCAGATACCGACTATGACGTTACCCAAAAACATCACAGTGAACGGCACAAAACTCATGTATGTGGCTTTTACTTCAGCAGTGCATAATGTCCTTTCTCTGTGATGTAATGTGCCTCTGCCAAGTATCTTTGTTAATAAAGCTTGTTATCCTCCCAGGAACGACATGAAGAACAACCTCGAGAGCCCCGTCTGACCCTGCGGCCGCCCAGTCTGGCAGCACCATATGCCCCAGTCCAGAACTGGCATCACCAGCCTGAGAAACTCATCTTTGAGTCTTGCACCTATGAAGCCAATGTACATATACACCTTTCTGCTTCATAAATGATGTGTTTTCATTGAACACAATTGCCAACCACTGAGATTTTCTTCTCTCCTGTTCTTTTAGTACCTCGGTTCCATGCTTATTAAGGAACTACGGGGTACTGACTCCACACAGGATGCTTGTGCCAAAATGCGGGTATTGTATGAGTTTCCTTTACAGCCTCAGGGGAACAATATACCTATACTATGAGTGAATGATAAATCATCTTAGTGTACTCTTTTTATTGTGTGTCCTTCAGAGGTCAACAGAACAAATGAGAAAAGTCCCAACCATCATCCTCTCCATCACCTACAAGGGTGTGAAGTTCATCGATGCAGCCCTTAAGGTTAGCCACCACACGCCTACACTCCTCTGTGCATTTGCTTTTTGTAAAATGTTGAGCTCATATGTTCAGCATGCTTTTACTTCTTGTGGCTGCACTTTACTGCAGTGGTTCTGAAACCTGATTCCTGACTCAGTGTCTCCTCTTTACCGGCTGTCTCGTGCCAACTCGTATTTCTCTGACACATTATTAAAGTACATAAACATGCAAGTCTTATACTGCCTGTCTTCTTCGTGCAGAACATCATCGCAGAGCACGAGATCCGAAATATTTCGTGTGCAGCCCAGGACCCAGAGGACTTGTGCACATTTGCCTACATCACCAAGGACCTCCAAACCAGCCACCACTACTGCCATGTGTTCAGCACAGTAGACGTGGTAAGAATACCCTTACTGTCCTGCCCCATGTTCATCTGAAAACACACTGGTTTATCAGTCTGAGCTGAGTTATGTCAGCTTATTCTGACATGATATTTAGCTGGGAATTAGAATAAATAAGGATGCTAGAAGGATTTCTTTTATTCGTACTAGAAACTTTGAATTCCTCCAACATCTTCTCCCATACTTACACCAAGGAGACGTGATTGACTACACAGTCAGCATTGTTATCTTACTATCTATTCAAGGCATCGTGCCTCAGTTGGAGTTAATTGCCTCCTGCTGGACACAATGCTACTCTGGCAGTGATGGCTAGTCCTCCATTCCCTAGTCTGTCCCCACCAGGGATCTGATGATTATCCTGCTAATCTGCCTCATAATGCAGGCAGTGCCATTCCAGACTACAGTTATCTTAACATCAGTTTCCTCTGTTACTGTGGTCCCTGAGCTCTGTGACGTCCTCTGTGGGGTTGAAGCAAAGGCTGCCACACAGCAGACAGTGCTAAAGCAGTATGACATCCAAAGCCCCCAAGACCCACTGAAGAATGTGCCAATGATTTCAGAGCTGTGTTCAGTGACTGTTCAAGCTACGCACTGTTCCCACAGTGCGATTGCTTTCTCATCTCCTTTTGTCTATAGTCTGAGGTGCTTGTTCATATTTGGAATCTGTCAGGATATAACCAATAAGCTTAAATAAGCTGCAGCAGATGGATATTTCCGGTTCCGGGGACCTGGTGCTGCTGCTCTTCAGTCCTCCCATGATTAGTACTACTTCTTTATGTTGTACACTTTTGTTTTGAAAATGTTTTAAGGAAAAGAAACTTTACCATGATATATTTTGTCTCACTGAGTAGTTTTGTTTCTGGGCTGAAAACATACAGTATCTGCGAGACTCAAAGTCCAGAACACTTTTAAGTTGTGCCTGCCCTTCATCTCTGTCCCACTTTGTATAGAACCTGACCTATGAGATCATACTGACGCTGGGCCAGGCGTTCGAGGTAGCCTATCAGCTGGCTCTGCAGGCCCAAAGGACCAAACAGCACCAGAACGTCCCAGCAGGAGCCAGTTCAGAGGTCATTGAGACCAAGTCCAGTCGGCCTGTACCCAAACCGCGAGGCAGTGTGCGGAAGTCAGCGGTGAGGTGGACAGTAAACATATGCGCACCATGTACACCACACACATATCTAGTTTATTGGCCACATCCCAGTTGAGCTGGTATAAGGTTAGTTACTGTGGTTTAGCCTGTTCATCAAGACGGTGAACACCTGGAGCTGTAGCAGTGGATGTGACACACAGGTCAAGGAGGCTGTTAAAGTATTTTAGAACCTATAGCACATGATTGCTGCAATTTACATTCAAATTCAGTAACTCAGTCAAATCTGAACACATACTGTAGATATGTTACACATATTTTCTAGTCAGTGGGACAGTGTAGTTAGAAATCATAGGATAAGAAGCATCGTATACTTCTAACTTCAGTTTCAGAGTGATCCATAGACAGATGTTTTTACATCTGTGGGGGCGCTGCAAACAAAAGCTGCTAATGGCTAATTCACCATACTTTTAATGGTGCCAATTTACCAAAAATGTAAATAAATATAAGCTAAAAAAAGATGCACCCCATCACTATCTAAGTCAACTTATTACCTCAAGTCAACTTTTATTTCCCTCAGCTGCTGTCTTTTGAAATATACACATTTTGAGCCTTCATTTGAGCAGCAGTAGTTTTGCTGAACACAAATCCACTCTGAATGTTGCTCATTACAGCCACGGTCTGATCGGTCTCGGCTACAGCAGATCAGGCTCCTGCTGTCTCATGCTGCTTATATCCGTATCAGTTTGCTTCCCTCTAATTCTCTGTCTACCCCTCCTCCTGTTTGTTTCTCTTGTGCTCTGTCTGTTTTTCTTCTTCTTCCTCCGCTCTCTCTGTCTTACTTTCCTTTCTCCTCCTGATGGTGTTCCTCTCTCCCAGGACTCTCCTCCCCTCGACAGCTGCTGCTGTAACACTTACAGCTGCACCACCCACCGACCCTCCTTCCTACCGCTGCACTCTGCCAGCCCTGCTGCCCAGGTGCTGCCTTATTATGCTGTCCCATCGCCATCCTCCCGCACTATGCTCCCATTTCTGCCTTCCTAATCTTGTTTTTTTTCTCACCATTCTGAAAAGCCCAGAATCTTATATTCATACATGTGCTGTTGTTGCACGTTTTACTTCTGTGCAAATACATGTGTGTATATATGTACAAGCTGTTATCTATTCCTAACCTCATGTGAACTGACAATGCTTTGAAATTTCTTTTGACTTGGGCGCCCTCTATTGACAGTTTGGTAGTAGGACACTGTTTACAAACTGAAACCCTACCCTGGTTTTTAATAGTGGACCTCTGCTACCTTGTTCTGGAAGTACTGTTTTTACTGATAACTTACTTACTGAGGTTTTGTTTCAGGACAAGAATTGCCACTTGTATAAAAACGAATCCTGTTGTTCCACTGAACACCTAAAAGAGTTCATCTACTTATTCATCTGATTATACATCAGCCTCCACGTGTAATGCTTTCAGTGTTATTCACAATCTGTGCAAAGTCAGATGTGGACTCACAGGTTTATTAGGTAAATTTAAGGTTAGCAGTGAGTGAATGGGAGTCTTCTCTGGATTAATGGCAATGGGAATGTAATTAGTAATGGTCGACCAATGTGGGCTTTTTGAATGACTAATTAAAATAAATCTGTATTTTAAAAGAGTTAATAGTTTGAGGTCCCCTGCTTTTGTGAGGCTGTGAGTTTGATGGCCTCTGTTGATACTTACAGGCTGACACTGTGGATCGTGAGGGGGATACTCAGTCCCAGGGCAGTGCCAGCTGGCTCGTGGACCCCAAGGAATCCAAGCGCACTATCAGCACTAAGTACGAGACCACCATATTCTGAGTGGAACCCTTTTCCTCCTGACTTTTGACCTCTCAGTCTGGGCCTAGTTACACCCCTCGTCCCCTCCTCTGCTTCTGTGTGCCTTTCACTGGGACTGCCTGTCTCTCTGGGCTGGACCCCTGCCCTCTCCCATCCCTCTTCAGCCACACCCGTGTCCTGCTTTGACAACAGCGCAGCCTGTGACAGTTAACCGAGTGCTATATTCCTTCCTTATGCTAATCCACCACCAGTTCTACTTTTCCACTTTGTGAACCCTCTTCTTGCTGGTAACAGTCACACTACCAGCCTCTCCTTTCTGTTTAACCTGTATGTTTCCTGAACGCCATGTACAATATTTCCTATCCCCTTTGTCAACATCCCTCTATTTACTTTTGCTGATAAGCTCTCTCTTTTTTTCTTGGTGCTTTTCCTGCCCTGTTAGGCAATGGCCACTCTGAGGCTTTTCACTCTGATCTTTCAAGTCCTGACTCCTCTGTGCGCTGAGAAAATCAGATTCACAGTGGCCCAGAGTGACCCACTGCACACATCCAGTACCTGGATGGACATGTTTCCTGAGGAAACTGAGAAACTGCTCCTGTAATTCTATGCACCAGTTGGACTTGAGCAGACTGTTTCTGTACAGTGGTATGCATGTCGTGGGCTTACAGAGGTCTGCTCAAAGCCAAAGGAGCCTACTGTCCTAGCACTGTGATAAGGTCTTTTTGGGGCTAATAATGTTAGCAGTTTGGGTGGGGGGGTGGTTCTAGAGAGAAAAGGGGAACACAATAGGGCAGAGAAGCTGATATGGACCTGCATGTTAGTGTTCCTCACTGCTCCAGAAAACACAGCCCAGACTGTGTAAGCCGTGCATGCCCTGAGCGAAATCACTGTACGCACTTTTACCATCCTGTCAGCACTGCCTTTTGCTTGGCCAGTCACACAGGTTAATGTTTCACAGCAGCTGGTGAAAAGAGTTAATCATTATAACTAAGGGTAATCCATCATCATCATGCTTTTTGTGTCCATTAGCTTGGCAGTAATTTACTTCATTTTAACCTCACTGCTTTGTGTGCATGTATCCCTCCTCCCCTGTAGCTGAATGCTGTGGCCGCTCCCAGCCAGTAAGAAGGGACAGGAATGAGTCCTGTTGCATGCTGGGTAGGAGGTTTTGTTGGAGAAGTGACCCGCCTCCCATGCAGCAGATCACATCACCAGTTGGATTGCACTTGCAGCTCACCACAGCAACTCGTGGCCCAGGAGACAAACCGGCGTAAAGCTTGTGATGCTGCACACTCCATCAGTTCATCTGACCTCATTGACTTCATCACTCGGCCTACACACACGCCTCTATTTAGGCGAAGGTTGTCTCAGTCAGATGTACGTGTTGCGCTCTGTGCATTTCCTGAAATGTGGATGGCTGCCACTCTCACAGAGTTAGCAGGTACTCTTTCAGGAAATGTACCTGCAGATTTCAATACAGAAGTTGTAGTGAAAGAGGAAGTTGCTGACATAAGCATCTATAATTTCATTTCTTGCTTTTTGTTTTGTTATGAAACAAAGGTACAAACATCACACTGTAAGGTACACACTTTTTCCTGAACCTTGTAGCGTCTCTTCATGGTCATCAGCTTCTCATCCACAGCACACAGTTCATGTTTAACTGTGATAAATGATGTAATCTCACATGGGAGGAGCTCTCCAACCAAACTCAATGGACAGAGGAGCTGACACTACAAAGACTGTTTTATAGTGATATAACAGGGGGTGGCTTTTTATATCTGATTTGAAAGTTTTCTCTTTTTGTGTTTTAATTGTTTTATAGGACAATAACATGTCCTAATGCTGGAACTGGATCAGGTGTGGTTCACTGCGGTTCGCTCTCTCCTTCCCTGCTCCTTTGTTCAGTTAATCTAGACAAAAATATTCACCAAACCTGCCATGCAGGCTGGTGCATCTTTAGACTTTAGCTGCAGAATAGAACAATGGGGCACAGCATGTTTCTTCCAGTAACTCCCAGTATGTTGACTGTTAATGGTACTTTTTGGTCAGCCAGTCTGTATATGGGTGCATAGTCAGGTCATTTTGATTTAGCTGTTATGTATGTGGTGCATTGTAAGGCCAGTACAAGAACTCTACGGTACGCTGTCCTCGGCTCGCTGGTGGTAGCACCTTCATCCTGGTCCCGTTCTGCTTTTGCACTTTGCTAAGGATCAGGAGAGATATTTTGGGACTAATCTGATGACAACATTGAGAATGATATTGTACATGGTTTGTATTTTGATACTTGAATGAGTTTTGTTTTTATAGATATCTATATATACTGTATGTATATGTATGTATGTATGTATGTATGTAATTTTTTTAAGTTTGCCAAAAGAGACGAAATGACTATGTCTTATAAAGCTAAACATATCGTGAATAAATACTCTGTGATTTAAAAAAAAGGCTGAGACATTGACTCAGAAGGGGGACCTCACTTAAAAAAAAGATTGTAAATAATCTTGGGCTTCCAGTCTTTTTTTATGATTATTTTTCATAAATGTACAATTAATAAATGGCGCAGTTAGAAATGCCGTTCCTGCGGACTCTTTATTCATCCGTTCACTTGTGTAATGCTATCATGGAATTGTTGCTTTTGTTCTCAGTTTTGGCTGAGAACAAAAACTACATCTCTACTGCAGATATCAGTTAAGATGATGCCTGTGTGGCCTATAGATGCCACCAGAGTGTCTTGATTTGTCAGAGGGCAGATAAGTGGATGTCCCAGGATGAAATGTTTGGTCTCCACCCTCCATGTCCGTTTAATAAACCTTTCTCTGCTGATGGATGTAGAGCAACTGTTCAGAGCCAGTAATGTAACATAATACAGGAGATAAAAACATTGAGGTCCAGGCACGCAAGCTTTTCAAATATCAGCATCTCCTGTCTATATCAGGTAGCAGCAAGCAAAACATTTCTACAGTTTATCTCTTTGCATTAAAAGGCAATTTCAAGCACAATGTTTTTAATTTTCTGTCTGTTAGAAGAGAAATTAATCAAGAAATTTGTCACAGCGCTAATTTAAATAATAATATTGTTGTTGCTGGAGTCGCTCAGTAACAATCTAACGTAGGTGTAATATGTAACTATTGTTTCAAAATAATAATGGAGTCTGTGATTGTATAAATAAATTGTAAAATCCTGTGTATTTTTACAACCAACTCCAGTCAACCATGACATATTTTCCTGCTGTTATTTCATGCTAGAGAACCAAAAAACCTCTGGTCAGTAATTTATTTAGTTAGGGTTGAGTTGTAATGCTGGAAAAAGACAGAAAAGTCTAACTCAGTTTGCAGCACATAGCTAAGAAAATAGTTACGTAGGATGTGTAATTGTGCATTATCTAATACTTACTTTCTTCTGATTTCCATGCAGTAATATGGCCTAGTTGCACTGTACAGATTGCCCCAACAATCTATGATAGTATGTTGCTTTAGTCTCCACATTAGAAATGATACTTGTAAAGTAAGCTTGTCAGCATTAAACTTATCAACATTAAGCATCAACAGATCAGATGATGATGAAATGTAGGGTTAGATGGGTGTATGAATTTACACAGCTGCTTACGTTCATAGATAAGCACCAGATGGTCCTGGGTTGTGATATGGATATCTGCAGATAGGCCTGCTTTGTTCTTAAACTCCATAATGCACAAACTGGTTATAAACAGTGGAACGCATTTGTTTTGTTTTGCCAATTTAATTGTACCACTTTCTAATGTGACAGCCTTTAGAAAAGATTATGTAGTAAAGTAGTAACTTTATTAATAGTTTATAATATAGGTTATAAACCTGGGGGTCTTCCTGATTAGGCAGACTTTGATCAGTTGGCTACTTATGGAAGATTTTAGCCAGTGCAGTGACATGGCTCTATGGGTGGTGACATCAGTTGGTTGGTTCACCACCTGTTTAAGTCAGATATTTCAAGAGACAGATGCATTGCACTGAAATTTTGTCCAGACTTTCGTGGTCCCCAGATAATATTGGCTTTGGTGGTCATATGCCTTTTCATCTGTTGACAGCTATGACAGAAGGATTCCCTTGACAGTTAAACAGTTTATCTTTTTGGGACCTTTAACACATGTAGTAAAGAGGTGATCCTCTGACTTTTCTCTTTGTGCCACTAGCTGGACAAAGTTTTTACTTAGTCAGTGAAACGTCACACCATCCAGGTGAGGCGTGGCACCATGTATCCTACGTTCATCCACTAACCTTTGCTAGCTATTACACTGATAAAATTTGGTAAAGACATCCATGCTACTCTCTAATCCATGGTGTCACAACAACACTGTTGTACAGAGGAGCTGGATTTCAGACAGTTTTCAAATAGTAAAAAAAGGTAAGATCATCTCTTATTATTCCAAAGCTTTGTCTGTGACTCATCCTTATTTAGTATAACTTTCATATTTTTCTACCTATGGAAATAAAATAAAAGAATAAAAATAGATCGCCTTGGGTTTGTGAACGTTTGGCTGCTTCTATTCCATTGGCTGCACACATACGCACAGCTACCTGTCCCGAAGCTAATTGGCTCACCTGGCTGCTGTCATTTCCCGCCTGTTCCGATGCGCACTTGTCGTCGCGGAGTGTCGCTTCCAGTCACAGTGCAGCTGCTGGGGGCGAGCGAGGTGCACCCATGTTGCAGGCTCTCTTTTCCTTTTTTCCTGCACAGCTGTGCGACTTAACCGAGACAGACTTCATCTCTTCTCCGGTGAGTTATCAGGAAATCAGTCTTTTCGAACTGAGTGCGCGTTTGTGAGACAACAAGTTGCTTAGTTAACTTGAAACCACAAATCAGTGCTTTTAATGTTTAGATTTGTGTGAGCCTTTGCCAGGACAACCTTTAAGCTCTGGTTATAAGGTATTTCCAGGGCTTTTTAATGATTAATTTTGCCTGTAGTTGATGAGGTTTTGCCAGTGTACAGATGGTGTCATCCTGTGTCAGTTGTCAGCAGTTTGAGTTGAGGGAAGTAGATGAAAAATGAAAGAACAAGTGAAATACTCAGTCAAAGACTCTAGACAGTTAGTCTCACATATCACCAGCATTATTAATCATTTCTCATGTTCTATGGCAGCCTATATTTCTTTTCAAAACTCACATTGATCTTAATCACTGAATGCTTGGTGACTTAGTGAGCAGACATTCAGGGAGGGAAGGTACAAATATTTGTTCAGAAATGTCAATAGTAGTCCTTTGATTGGGACGAGATGCCAAGGAAAACATTAATGAAATATTTCTGTTCACTGCAGCAGGTTGAGATTTGCACAAGCTGGTGTTCACAATGAATTTTGTTTACTGCTAATCATTAAACCAGTTCTCTGACTGGCTGCCCTTGAACACATACTTCACGTTTTTTGGATCCCTTTTTCACAAAGTACTATAATTAGCATCATTGACTGTAAATGATGATTGGTCGTGTCTGCTTCATATACTGTTCAGCTGTTCTTACAGTAAACACATTAAAGACCCGGAACTGAACCAGGATAAACATTTTTATCTGCTGAGTTGTTAATTCAAGTGGAACACCCAGTCACACCGGAGTGTTCGGTTGGGTTTAAGAGCTGGCGTAAAGATGTAAGCCAGCAAAGTAACATTCCTTCCACTGTTGAATCCTTACTCAGCCGTGGGTGTAGTGAGCTTCCCCAGTGTTGCCCTGCAGGTTTGTTGCCTTGTTCAGGTTTGAGAGGTGTTGGCTTCTTGGACATTTGTGTCTCACTCTGCTGAGCTGAATGGTCAAATGGGAGGAACAGTCATTTTCAGCTATCAAAGGTTTTTTCTGGGAGGCCTGTGCTTGCTTTGTCAACTAACTTTCATTGCTAGAAAATTAACGTGGGTGTTGGTGATCAACCTTTTCCCCAACTGTCCTTGCTACAGTAAAATATGTCTTCGTGTCAACAGACCGGAAAATCAGAGCTAGTGACCAGGACTCCAGGTTAGTAGAGGTCAGACCCGAAGAGATATCTGAGGGCTCATATGGCACAAATCTCCTTCCAACCAAGAGGTTTTCGCTTGTAACTTGAATCCTTAATGAGCCCATGGCATGCTCATATCCAGCCATTTAATGTTTAACTTTGGGTACCTCTAGATTAGCTTTACACCCATCATAACTCCAAATAATCTGTAATTATTTCAAAATGATAAAACCAGAGAGCCTCTTCCTAAAAACGAGAGGATAGTTTGCGAATGTGCACAACTCCGGCTGCCGGTGTTGTGTTGAAAGTGGACAGCACAAAGAACCGGGACAGCATTAATCAATTTGAATTTCTCCTCCATTGACAGGTAAAGAATGATATATGTACCAATGAAAAGAGATGTGTAACACTCTAAACAAAGCAGGTAATTGAGAAACCCCATATTTTAACTGGTATAATGCAGACATATTAACTTCTCCAGCCTTAAAACAATTCTCGTTAATGTTACAGAAACCAGGGGTTAGGGTTAGGGTTAGACAGACATGCAACGTGTGTTTTTTTACTTAAGGTTAAGTCCCACTGAGTAGTGGAAACATCACTCCCTTTCAAATAGCTCCAAGGTCGGTAAATCCTACTGGTGGTCACTGCATCATCCCCCACACGACCACATACAGTCCCAAAGTAGTGAAACTAATTCCCACAGGTAGCGTAGCACCGACAATAACATCATGGATTGTTAATCCATTCCTTAACCAGCAACACATCGCATGTGGCAGACACACTGGCCTCAAGCAATCAAATCAAGCAGGCACTGTGCTCCAGTGGAATCCAGCTTTGATGAGCTGATCATCACTGCCTCGGGGTGCTTCTCAGGCAGCTGCTTGTAGCTTAGACCCAGTCAGGTAAAACAGCGAGTCTCTGTACAGGAACATTCCCGGACATGCAATAACCTCAGGCCCTGTATTTTTTTCCACATCCTCTGGTCACATTGTAGCAGCAGGAGGTAAAATATATCCACAAAACCAGGTGTAGTCAAAAAATTTTTGCTTTTACAATGGAACCAGTGGATGTCAGGCAAGCTCACATGAACTGCCTGGAGATTATGACCATTCAAAGAAATCCTTATTTAGTTTTGTTTGAAAAAAAGGCTTGCAAGCGAGAGTCTGCGATACTTGTATAAACTGAGTTGCTTCTTCATGGAAGAACTAAAATACATGCACACCTCATTTTTTGAGCTTTAGGTCACATCTAAGATGATAATTCATTGTTGTAACATTGTAGATAAGTCAGAAAACAAGAAAAAACATGCCATCTGCTCTTTAATCTCTTATGATCTTAAAAATCTGTCAGTGAAGTAACAGCCTTTCTAAATGCATTAAACATTTTGTATCCAGTTTGCTTAAAACTTTCTAAAATCATGTTTTATTATCCTTCACGTTATAGGACTTCAACCTGACTTCTTATTTTTTCAAAGCACAAAATGCTTGAAAGAAATTTTTAACAGTGATATAAAATTAAAACCACAATCATGTCATTCTTCTTAAAATGTTTTGAGATGTTTTCTTTTCAAATTCAGCTTTGTTTATATCAAATCCTTGATATTTTTACCTCCCGCACACTCTAAAAATTGTTCAGATTAAAGACTCTGGAAAGCAACATTGCTCTTAACTCACATCTACAAGCAGATGTTTTATCATATCAGGGAATCATGAGCCAAAAAAGGGAACCACTGCTGTTAAACAAATCAACAACACAAAGGGAAGTTTGATTTCAAAACGGTTTGCCCTCATTTATGATGGTACTGAATGTCTGCTCAATCCAACACACATGCTTAATAAAACCAAAGCCATTTCAAGGATTTTAGTCCCAACATTTCAGAAAAAAATTGACCAGGCATCTACATAGAAATAAAAGCTCTAAAATATGCACATTAGTTGGATCATATAAGACTGCTGTGTTTATGTATAAAGCCAGGAACAATTTATTACCTGGTGGAATTCAAAAACTATTTAATGAAAGGGAGGGGGATACAATTTAAGGGGTCAGTTAAATTTAAAAATTCATGCTATACGTACAACCAAAAAAAGATTTTGTATTTCTATAAGTGGGGTAAAACTATGGAATAATTTAAGTGTAGACATAAAAAATAGTAATAGAATTGATGAGTTTAAACATAAATATAAAGGTATGTGTCAATCAAGATATATGTAAGAACAGGCTTAATGATTAATTAGATGGAACATTGTGGGTGTGGTGTATGAATGTTAACACTTTGTAATAATTCTTTATTATATTACTTGTGTGGTGTAGAAGATAATTATTTAAGA